GTTTTTTTTTTTTTTTTTTTTTTAAGGGTGGGGGTGGGACGGGTTGGGGGCCTCACTGTGGTATAGAAGTTATTTTAAACTCATACCTTCAATAGCAAAGCATTGCAAGACTTCTTCTGAATTGCTTCAGCTATTCTTTTTGGATTCGTAACCAACAAGTCATCACCCACAAGCTGGATATCAACTGAGGATTGTAGTGATGACCATGAACTCCAATCATCTTGGTCAAATGGATCTTCAATTGATACAATAGGGAAATCTCTGATAAACTCCCTATATAGATCACCAAGGCTCTCAGCCTTCAGCACATGAGCACCATCATTTGGTTGTTTCTTGAAATTGAGATCATACTTCCCGTCCTTCGTCAAGAACTCAGAAGCAGCAACATCCATACCGATTTTGATCTGGACCATTATTTTTTTAATCCACGAATTGTACAAGTGAAAATTAATAGCAATTGTGAGGGAGACATAGAAGAGGTGACTTTACCTTTCCTGTGTAACCCGCCTTTTCAATTGCATCCATGAGCAATACCAATCCTTCCCTGTTATCCTGAACATTAGGAGCAAATCCACCTTCATCCCCAACATTGCATGCATCTTGCCCATATTTAGCTTTGATAATTCCTTTCAGAATGTGATAAACTGTTTTTGCCAAAGTGAAGAAAATTAGTGTTAGGTTATTGCATAATACTTCGTCACAAATACAATAATTAATGATCAAAATCATACACAGAGAGAGGGGGTGAGGGGATTTTCTTCATAGTATTACACAAAGACTTAGAGGATAAACTTTTCATATACTAATCTCCTTTGTTTTTCATGAACATATTAATCAAGAAATCCACATATAGAAGGACATAAATAAATGATTAGATGGATCCGAGTCACATTGGCGGGAGTTATTCCCAAGCCTCAAATTTGGTACTATTTAATCAAGGGCCATGCCTTTTAGTTGATGGACTATCCTGTAATATGTTAATATCTTAACTAAATTTATATCGGGAGCAATTAAGAGAATGCTTCAATGAGGAGGGGAAAATCTAGTTTACTGACCTTCACTACCCATCCGAAGTGCCTCAGAAAATGAGGTTGCTCCTACTGGTAGTATCATGAATTCTTGCATGGCCAGGTTGTTACCAGCATGGCTACCTCCATTAATCACATTGAATGCTGGGACTGGCATAACAAGCTCTTTGGTGTTTGATATTTCCTGAATGTGTTTGTAGAGGGGTATCCCTTTTGCTCCAGCTCCAGCTCGACATACACTAAGAGAAACTCCTAGAATTGCATTAGCCCCCAATTTTGATTTGTTTGGGGTTCCATCAATCTCCAGCATAATCGCATCAACATCAGCCTGATTCCTTTGTACAGAAGAAAGGCAAAGTGGTCAGTATCAGTGGTATTTTGGAAAATATTGCTATGATGAAAAAGAATATACGTGAATTTCGCAAAATGTAAAACTATTGAGACATAATCTCATTATATTCTACCATCAAGTGATATAGGAAGAACATGATATATATACCACATCACCAATATGATGATTTATTAACTTGTTTTGATCTCAATTAACTAATAACGCTCTTCCAAAAATTCATGATTAATAGCAGAAGAACTGTGGGCCTTTGCCTAATGTAATTATTTTTCTCCAGAGTGAAAACATCTTTCAGTCATTAACAGAGTTCTGAAGCAATTCGTGTCCATTACTAAAGAGGACACAATAAAATTCAATAAAATTCTTGGTGGAGGGGTTCAGTGCAAAGCTATGGAAGGACATATCAGAGAGAAAATTCAGCAATGGACACATCAAGCTGATCAAGATGAAATGTGAAACTGCTAGAATGTTCAGATAACTCATCTTTCAATTAATTTTCTAGCATATCAGAACTATTTAACATCTTATCTGTTCCCACATTTTACCTAATGAATGTTTTTATAGCAAATGCCATATGTGTGCTAGAAGGCTCTAGAAGCATTATCTCATCTTTAGTCTAGAAGTCCTAATCTGCATTTTCTACTGTCATGTTGTTCAAATGAGTTCCCACTTGACAACTTAAGCTATGCATAGGTTGTACATTCAAGTCTCGTTGTCACTCAATTACTAAAATAGTAGACGAGTAACAAATTTGATAAAAAATGAATTTCGTCTGCAGGCAAGGAGTGTGTTGGTGACTAGTTCTGAGTAATTAATTGAGTTTTCTCTGAACAACTCAGAGTTTAAATGAAATGGTTCAATAGTTATGCCACTCGACAATTTCACCACCAACAGTTAAAAACACCAGTAGGACTGTAACGGTGTTAAACAACAAAACATATCAACCAATGAGAAGGATTTCTCACAGCTTCCAGAATGCAAATGAAATCATATTAACATTTTCTACACAAACCATTAATCCAAAGCTAACAAATGCACCATGCACAATCTTCACCAAGCAAAACACATACTAAACAGCAAGCAAAGCAGTTCATGGTTCACCATGCAAGGCTCGGATCTAGCTTAATCCCTCAGCATTTATACCAACTCATGAAGTATCTCAAATTTGAACAAAGTTCTCAAGACCGTTATAATCAGAACTTGGACACGGTGTCATCATTCACATTGCAATAAATTCAACCTATCCAACAACAGTGTTCTATATTGTGCGCCAAATCGCTAGCTTCAGCCACGGCGCTTTATTATTATTATTATTATT